TGCTTAGTCGACCTCCCGGATGGCTCACCCGTCGCCCAGGCCAGTCAGTTGGAGCTGTCGAGCATCCTGGTCGACAGCAATACCACAGCGGTCCGCTGCAGCTCGTCGTAACCTGTCGAGCAGCTATTCCACTGTGAGCGGTCGGCTGCTACTCCCGTACATCCGACCAAGTTGTCGGCGTTGCCCAAGCGAGGGCGGGGCCAACACTCCATTCCCGTTAACAGTAAACGTGGCAAATGGCCCAATCATATAGCGTTTTTTATGTGCGTTTCCAACTTTTTATTGGCGGACAAAATTTTCAGTAGCGTCGGTTTCGATACACACTTATCATTAATAGCTATACATACTAGCACGTAGATTTTGATACCACTTAAAAAGTAGCAAACGTTATACAGAACAAACAACAGTTGCATCTACTCAATCGCACAAGACATACTAATCCAAAACTGACAAACAAAGCGAACTCAAGTAGTAAAAACACGAACGTAACGAGTTGCTCCTGTTTATTGAGATTGTCTGCGAGATAGCATAGGAAGTAAGAGCTCGTGAAAAACGCAATGTATGCAGTTTCGTACTCACCTGAAATAATCGTTGATGGTTTGGAAAAATACTTTTATGGCTAAAATAAAACTAACTGCGCATGTGGTTGACGGTAAGCCTGCAAAACCAGGTCCACCCTGCAAAACATTCAAACACAGGGTGCTGTTTCGCATCCCGCTGACTTCGCGACAGCGGGGTTAGTAAAGGCAGATTTTGTAAGACACCAAAGGTCAAATACTTAGCCTTAGCAATCGTCGCGTGACCACATGGCAAAAAACTGATGATATCGCGTCGGTACTTGGGTGCATGCCCAAGGCTGACAACCTAGACCAAATCCGTTGACTTGGTTTGCTGTTTTGATTGCCTTAATCGCAACATATCGATCTTCGTGACGATGGCTTCTACGCACGAAACGAAGATAGGAAACGTCACATTGAGAGGAAAAATGAACCTGAAGATACCTCCAGATTAAAACTGCACGATGAAATAACATAAGGACAGCTTCACCTGCAAGATAAGAACTGTAAACGTACCTGCGATGTTGCGTGACAATGTCTTTCCCCGCAGTGACGCACGTGTTACCTAGCAGCCAGCGCAGCTATTGCAGCGCGACGTTGATGGCGGAAGGAAGCTGCCGTATGAAAAGGGGAGAGTTGTGCAAAAGGGACAGTGTTGAAAAAAAAAAAGGATCCTGACATGGCGAACGCAACATAGTGAGGACATTCTAAAACATAACATAGTTTTCGGCTTGAAGGTACTTGGAGCTTGCATCTAGTGAACGTCGAAGGGAAAAAAAAAAAAAAAAATGGGGGGCGGGGGGGGGGAATAAGGGCGTGTGTGGTCTTCGAAATTTGTAAAAGTTCATGTTTTTAGGGCGATTTTTGCGAAACGAATATAAGTCGGACGAAATTCGACTTCTATTGTATCGAAGTTCGAACATCAGGTGTAAAACACAGTAAAAAAACACACACACATAGAAGGTCGAACCCCGAAATTCGAACTTGCTAAAAATGTGCCTAGCCGCACGTCTACTAAATAGGTTACCCGGATCGTTACAAATAGGTGACCCGCTCAAATTTGGCCACGTGGCTACCAATCATTGCACTGAACAGTAGAGTAACTTCGTTGTGCCATTTCAGCCACTCGCGAAGCGGTCGCCGGTTTCGCCTGCGTTTTGTACGTGCTACAAAGCACACACGCTCGAATGAACGTGCGCACACAAGTTTACTCGAGTCAAGTTCAGATTTCAAACTCGAAATTTCACGTGCCCCATAATATGATGGTGTCGCCAATTTGCGTCAACGAGATTTGCGTAACGGGTAACCACCCAAAGTTCGAATTTTTTTTCTAACTTTCAAACAGACCACACACGCCCTAAGTTTGGTTGTGTGGTACTGGGACTACAGGCGTAGAGGGGAAGGGAATCGTGGGAGAAATATTTGTTGGAGAATCGAGTCTCTGCCGCCCCAGCCCTTTGCACACAAGGAGCAGCAAGAATGTCGGCGACGGATTGAAGGCTTCGCGAAAATTCAGAAACTTCCGTAGCAAATCAGATTGCAGCCGAAGACTCGATACAGTTCGGGATTGCTCTCAAACAGAAGGGTCGACAGTTTCTACAGGTTTCTACAAAACAGAATCAGCTATAACAGTACATTCCAGAGATTTCTTATTCATGCACCTCATGTGGCTCTCAAGTCACTCAAGGTTCATGGAATCTGAATTGTGCCCAAGTTCCCAAGGAAGTTGCCTTGTCTAGCAGCCATAGAGGGTGGGCAATTTGGGAACTAGAGGGTCGCCGTCACCAAGGCAACTTGGGAACTTGGGCACAATTCAGATTCCATGAACCTTGTCACCGTCAAAGGAGCAGCAGCCAACCGTCACCAACCAGCCATCTACTTCAACACCAACCCCGCAAGTTCAACGTCACCCGGATCAGCCCACCACTACACCATCAAACCCATCACCAGCCGTCAATTCAGAGGCAACTACAGAAGCTCACCATCATCCAATGCAGCAGCAACCTACAGCTACAAGACTCCAAGTACCTACATCAGCACCATCTACAATTCTTCCTACCAACAAGACAACCATTACCGCAACATCTCGTTCTCACACACGTTCATCACTTCAGGTTCCAACGTCAAGCCAGCTCATAGCACGAGGATCACTTCAGCGAATCACCACCAACACCAGCTCCAACAGCCCACTTCTTCACCCAAGACCTTTCTCAACTTCACCCCCACGTCCCTGAATCGGCCGTCATCAGTTACCGCCATCTTCAACACCGAGAAACAGCGCCAATCAGACCGAACCGTCTCCAACTTTCGACAACGCAGCGTCATCATCAATTCCCAAGCTTCTAGTCTCAAGATCCCCACCAAGAGAATCTTCACGGCCAACTATGCCGACGAACATTTCAGCTTCACCGACACAAGTCACCACACCTATTCCTCAAGTCAACACCGATAATCGAGAGAGTTCCACGCCGGGAGAAGATCATGCAGTCGTGCCGCCGTCGCAGCCGATGTCGCAGCCATTGTCTCAGCCGCAGATGACCGTGTCAACGCATCCAACCACTGTGAGACCGAACCCTACCATTGATTGGTCTCAGCCAAGTGAGGCTTTTGGTAAAGGTAAACGAGTCCGCAAGGTAAAAAAGCCCTTCACATTCATGGTTGACATGTCATCAAGGTGCACATGTGAGGAGAGCGAGGATTGCATTCACAAGAAGGTAGAGGCAATATGCATGGCAGCGTCACACCTTCCACGAGAGCCATTGAGTCGTCGTGAGGCGGTGGCAAGTCCCGAGAGAGAGCAATGGTTGAAGGCCGAGGAAGAAGAGATTGAGAGTCTCATGAAGAGAGGTACATGGCGTCTTGTTGAGCCACCTCCAGGGAAGAAGGTAATTGGTGTCAAGTGGGTGTACAAGATTAAGGTAAAAGGTGATGGTACACTTGATAGGTACAAGGCAAGGTTAGTGGCAAAAGGTTATTCCCAAAATCCAGGTCTAGACTTCACCGAAACCTTTGCCGCAGTAGCCAAGTACACCACGGTACGAGTCCTCCTCGCCATAGCCGCATATCTTGGTCTCCATATCCATCGAATGGATGTCAAGAACGCATTTCTCTACGGTGTCTTGGAAGAAGAGGTATACATGGCACAACCCGAAGGTTATGATGATGGTACGGGTCGAGTTTGTCGCTTGGTAAAGTCCCTTTATGGTCTCAAACAGTCCCCACGGGTATGGTATCATGCTCTTGAGAAGGTACTCTTCAAGCACGGTTTCACAAGGTCCATGAGAGACAACGCGTTGTACTTCATGCACACGAGTGAGGGGGAGTACATTTGGCTCTTGGTATATGTCGATGATCTCCTCCTAGTCTCAGGTTCTCTTGATCTCCTCAACAAGGTGAAAGGTATTCTCATGAGTGCATTCACAATGACCGATCTTGGTGAGCAGAGTCATTATCTTGGTATGAACATTGTGAGAGATCATAAGTCACGGTCCATCTTCCTATTCCAGCAAAGGTACATCCAAAAGGTCCTTGAGAGGTTTGGTCTTGATGATAGCAAGCCATCACCTACCCCACTTCTTACCAACTTTGTCCCTTTGTCTTCTCATCAGCCCTTTAAGGAGAGAGAGTCAAGCCTGGATATCACGGGTATTGAGGAGTTGTGTCTTGAGGAGAGTGAGCATCATGGTGAGAATTCACCCAAGGTATCCTCACAAGACCTAGCTCTCTACCAAAGTCAGGTTGGGTGTCTCATGTATGCAGCCCTATGCACAAGGCCCGACCTAGCATTCACGGTATCCAAGCTCGCTCAACACATGAGTGCCCCATCACCTATCCATATGCATGCAGCCAAGCGAGCTCTTCGGTATCTCAAAGGTACTTCTAATCATGGTCTTCTCTTCCAAGCCAGCCCACATGCAAGCTCCCTCCAAGGCTTTACCGATGCAGATTGGGCGGGAGATTTGAGCACACGCAAGTCCAGCGGTGGCTATATCTTCCTTATGTGCGGTGCCGCTGTTTCTTGGCAATCGCACAAGCAAAGTTGTGTGGCGCTTTCTAGAACCGAAGCTGAGTACATAGCAATGACCGAAGGAGCAAGGGAGGCAATTTGGTTACGTGGACTCTTGGAGGACTTGAGGCAGCCGCAAACTCAACCAACTCCGCTCTACGTGGACAACACTTCAGCTATCGCCCTCTCCAAGAATCCGGTTCATCATGGGCGTACAAAACACATCGAGGTGCAGTAACATTTCATTCGTGAGCAACTAGAGAAGGGAGTTCTCGCCGTCAACTTTTGCCGTTCATTCGACCAAGCGGCAGATTTCATGACTAAGGTTCTTCCACATGATGCATTCAACATGTGCAAGGCAAGAGCAGGTCTCATGACACTTCATGAAGCAGTGCAGTAGTTTGAGGAGAATGAGGAGAAGCAACATTGGCAGCACCATGGAGTGTATGCCAAGGAGATGTAAGAGGAGAGTAAGAATTGGCGTATGTGTGCTTCGGGTCTGGTGCGAGGGGGAGTGTTGGAGAATCGAGTCTCTGCCGCCCCAGCCCTTTGCACACAAGGAGCAGCAAGAATGTCGGCGACGGATTGAAGGCTTCGCGAAAATTCAGAAACTTCCGCAGCAAATCAGATTGCAGCCGAAGACTCGATACAGTTCGAGATTGCTCTCAAACAGAAGGGTCGACAGTTTCTATAGGTTTCTACAAAACAGAATCAGCTATAACAGTACATTCCAGAGATTTCTTATTCATGCACCTCATGTGGCTCTCAAGTCACTCAAGGTTCATGGAATCTGAATTGTGCCCAAGTTCCCAAGGAAGTTGCCTTGTCTAGCAGCCTAGTTTGAGCTATCAATCTGCATGTTTGTAATGCTTAAGAAGTTGTGCTTTAGTGGGCTTGTTAATCTTGATCATAGTGAAGTTTTACCTCATCCAGTCAATTCCAGCAGCCCTGCTAAGACTTTCCAGCCAAGTTTCCAGCCCTCCAGTAGTCACAGCTACTCTATTTTACAAGTAGATTCTCGTGGGAAGGTGAGGGCATTTTGGGAGTGCAACAGCCAGGGGGGCAGCCGGGGGTGACCGGAGCACCCCTGGGAGTGCTACAGCCAGGGGGGCGGCCGGGGGTGACCGGAGCACCCCAGGGAGTGCTACGGCCAGGGGGGCAGCCGGGGGTGACTGGAGCACCCCTGGGAGTGCTACAGCCAGGGGGGCAGCCGGGGGTGACCGGAGCACCCCTGGGTGTGCTACAGCCAGGGGGGCAGCCGGGGGTGATCGGAGCACCCCTGGGAGTGCTACAGCCATGGGGGCAGCCGGGGGTGACAGGAGCACACCAGGGAGTGCTACAGCCAAGGGAGCAGCTGGGGGCGATCGGAGCACCCCAGAGAGAGCAGCAGCCAGGGGGGCAGCCGGGGGTGACTGGAGCACCCCTGGGAGTGCAACAGCCAGGGGGGCAGCCGGGGGTGACCGGAGCACCCCTGGGAGTGCTACAGCCAGGGGGGCAGCCGGGGGTGACCGGAGCACCCCAGGGAGCGCTACAGCTAGGGGAGCAGTTGGGGGTGACAGGAGCACCCCTGGAAATGCTACAGCCAGGGGGGCAGCCGGGGGTGATCGGAGCACCCCAGAGAACACAGCAGCCTGGGGGGCAGCCGGGAGTGACCGGAGCACCCCAGAGAACACAGCAGCCTGGGGGGCGGCCGGGAGTGACCGGAGCACCCGAGGGAGAGCAGCAGCCAGGGGGGCAGCCGGGGGTGACCAAAGCACCCCACGGAGTGCTACAGCCAGGGGGGCAGCCGGGGGTGACCGGAGCACCCCAGGGAGTGTTACAGCCAGGGGGGCAGCCGGGGGTGACCGGAGCACCCCTGGGAGTGCTACAGCCAGGGGAGCAGCTGGGGGTGACCGGAGCACCCCTGGGAGTGCTACAGGCAGGGGGGCAGCCGGGGGTGACCGGAGCACCCCAAGGAGTGCTACAGCCAGGGGGGCAGCCGGGGGTGACCGGAGCACCCCTGGGAGTGCTACAGCCAGGGGGGCAGTCGGGGGTGACAGGAGCACCCCAGGGAGCGCTACAGCCAGGGGAGAAGCTGGGGGCGATTGGAGCACCCCAGAGAGAGCAGCAGCCAGGGGGGCAGCCGGGGGTGACCGGAGCACCCCTGGGAGTGCTACAGACAGGGGGGCAGCTGGGGGTGACTGGAGCACCCCAGGGAGTGCTACAGCCAGGGGGACAGCCGGGGGCGACCGGAGCACCCCTGGGAGTGCTACAGCCAGGGGGGCAGCCGGGGGCGACCGGAGCACCCCAGATAGAGCAGCAGCCAGGGGGGCAGTCATTGGACGACCGGGAGCAGCAGTTGGAGGAGTGGTGCCGACTTTTGGAGTTTGATACCCCCATGGCGACTGCGGAGGAGTCAGAGGCGGACGAAGAACCTCCCATGCAGCCTTCCCCATGCCCTCGTTTTCCGTGTGACACGTGTTTTCACACGTTCGCTACGCGAGGGGCTGCTGCGAACCACATGAGGGTATGCCGGGCGGCTGAGGCGAAGAGGCGCGCGCAGGCACTTGGCTCGACCCCGTCACTGGTGGAGACCGACACGCAGGAGCGACCGACGCCGCGGGAATTTGGGGACGAGGCGTGGGCCGGGGTTACGTCTTGGGAATAGGAAGCATTTTTCAGTGTGGAGGCGGTTGGAGGGAGGACAGTGCGCCGGATCCCACAGCGGGCTCGGTCGGGGGTCTTAGACGCGCTCTGTTGCGTCTTAAAGCGTTTGAAGAGCCGGCCGGGGGATGAAGCCGCTACCCTCCTACTCTTGGCTTTTCCGCGCCTCATCCTAGCCGTGCCTCCCAAGCCAGGCATAGGACAGAAGGCGCTGATCATAGAGCGGTTGGGGGCGTTTTGGGAGGGGAGGTGGCGGGAGCTGTTCGACTCCGCCATGGTGGCGGCGCGACCAGCGGTACGCCCACTTGCCTACACTTGCTCTGACCAGGACCCGGATGCCATCCGCCTGTCACGGTGCCGATCTCGGTGTAAAGTGGGAGAGTGGAGCCGCGGATTGGCTTGCCTTACAGCAGGGGAGTTGGCCCGGCCGTCTGAGGCCATGGTGCAGTCGCTGTGAGAGAAGCACCCTGCTAGCACTAGCGAGGTACCACAGTGGGTCCGTGATTTCACCGTCGATGCTCCTCAGCGGCCTCCACTCACGGCCGACATCATGGCCAGAACTATCCATACAGCCGCTCGCGCTTCAGCAGCAGGGCCATCGGGGTGGGTCACGGAGCATCTGCGCGACACCTTCCTCACTGAACCTTCCTGCCTTTCCCACCTGTTGGAGGTGTTCAACCAATGGGTGGCGGGACAGGTCCCCGAGCGGGCTCGGCCCTGGCTCGCCGCATCCAACCTAGTTGGGCTTTCCAAGCCTAACGGCGACGTCCGGCCGGTCGCGATTGGGGGAGTGCTTTCGCGTATCCTTGCTCGAGCTCTCTGCATCTCGCTCCGCCTTACGATGGCTTCCTACTTTCTGCCGTGCAACCAGCTGGGAGCGGGCACCAGGGCCGGGGTATAGATTCTTACCCATTCTTTCCGGTCAGCGCTGGCTACTCACCCCGACTGGTATGCGCTGTAGATAGATGTTGCGAACGCCTTCAATTCGTTTCACCGTCATGCGATGTTTGAGGGGCTGCGGGAGTCGCCTTTCTCAGGGTTGATCCCATTCTTACGTGTTTTCTACGGGACACCTAGCGATCTGTACCTCCGAGCGGGCCCTTTTGTACAGAGCCTTGAGTCGGCACGAGGATCGCGGCAGGGGGACCCGCTCGGCCCTTTTCTTTTCGCGTTCACGCAGCAGCAGGTGATGGAGTCGGTGACTAGAGAGTTTAGGGACCTACTTTTCCTGAGCTACGCAGACGATACCTATATCCTGGGACCGGCGGCTAGGATTCTAGAGGCGTTTGGGGTGCTGCGAGAGCGGTTGGAATGGGTGGGGCTGGAGGTGCAGGCGCACAAGTGCCGGTTCTGGGAGCGCGAGGGCGGGGATGTGGAGCTGGCACTGCCATTGGGGATGCAGCGGGTGGAGGAGGGTCTCACTGTGGTGGGCGTGCCTATTGGGGAGGAGGGTTGGGAGGTGACCCGGTTACGGGAGCGGCTTAGACAGTTGCAGGCGCCATTGCCATGGCTCCCCCTGCTCGACCACCCCCAGATGGCTTCACATCTCCTCGCCATTGCAGTTTCAGCACATCCGATGTACCTGGTCCGGACTATACCGCCGCGTCCGGAGGTGGTGGAGGCCTTCAGGGATTGGGATAGCTGTCTGGAGGATTGCTTTGAGCAGCTTTTCCCACCTGGCACTTGGGAGCATGACCCCGACCGGTCTAGGCGCGCGCGCATGCAGCTGCATCTCCCTGTGCGACTCGGAGGGTTTGGGATCCGGGCAGCAGCCTCTTTGAGTACGCTGTCCTATGTTTGTGGGTGGGCGCAGGCCGCGCGTGATATTGCACAGTTGGGGGTGGCGGGCGAGGAGGCGATGTTTGCGGAGTACCTCACCACTTCGGCAGGGGCGGAGTTTCTTGACCCGTGGTTTGCCAAGGCTCTTGAGCAGCTGCCTGCGACTATACGCCAGGAGATGCCGGGCTTACCTCTGTGTGTAGCGGCCCCTCCTCTTCGGCTTTTCCAGGCGCGGCAGCGGTTGTTGGCGGTAGAGAGGAGCTCCAGACACTGCGTCGCTCGGCTCGTGACGATGCCACCCTGGCCCGTTTCACATCCCTTCAGGGCCCGGGGGTTGGTGCATGGGTTTCGGCGGTTCCGGCTCACTCAGATCTCACATTCACTGCGGCGGAGTGGGGCATTGCTGCTGCTATACGGCTCGGGCTCCCAATTCAGCAGCTGCAGGTGGCGGGGAGGTGTGTTTGTGGCACAGCATATGTTGACCCAGCAGACCCGCATCATGTCCTGTGATGCAAGCACCAGCATGGTCCATCTCGGGTACATGATGAGGTGAAGTTTGCGGTGGCGAAGATCTCTAAGGCGTCTGGGGGGGTGGTGACAATGGAAGATAGTGTGGTGCTGCAGGGGAAGCGGGTTGATGTGGCGGTGCGACGACCAATGGCTGGAGAGGCCCACGCCCTGGAGATCAGCGTCGCGGACCCGCTATCGCTGTCTCCATCTTTGCTAGGACAGTGCGGGCGTCAAATAGGCATGGCGGCAAGAGAATGGGAGCGTCGTAAAACGAGCGATTACGCGCCTCTGCTTGCACGCAACCGGGGCGTGTAGTTCACTCCTCTGATAGTGGAGACGTGGGGGTGTCTCGGCGGTCGCTTTCGGAGGTGGCTTCGTCAGCAGGGAGATGCGCACGTGGGGCTAGCTGTGTCGCGGGGGGCTTGTCGGGAGGACGACACTGTGTTTTCGGCTTGTCTTCTAGGGTCACTGAAGGCGCTCATCGGGGTGGCGTTGCAACGTGCGCAAGCCCGTGTCATCCTGCTTCGAGCGGCGTCTTCTATGGGGGGGATTAACGTTGACTTGGTGGACCGGGAGTGGGACGATGGCGATGCGGAAGGCGGGGCTCTCTGGGTGGAGGCCCCGTACATGGTGGATTCGCTGTTGTGATTGGGGGGGGGGGGGGGGGGAATGGGGTGTGGGATGGGATGTCTTGACAGGGTGTCTTGACTGGGCGTTTTGATTGGGTATCTTGAGGGGGGGTTTTATGTGTGTTGCATTTGGGTTCTTCTTGGCGGTTTCACTTTCCTTCTCCCTTTCTCTTTTCTTCTCTTTTCTTCTTCATTATTACAACAAATGAAGAAGGGTCTTTCTAGGCGGGGACCACTGGACAGCGAGGTTGGGTGCTGGTTAGAGATTGTCGAGCTCGAACGCGATTTTGTGGGGATGTGAGGTGGTCTTCCGAAAGGTGAGGGCATTTTCGGTGGACGTTTGGTTTGCCTAGGTTGGGTTGGCTGACGTGTATATCTCGGCGTGTGCGGATTGGATGAAATTGATTTTTAGGGTCACACGTCACACCACTGAAGAAGCCTTCCGCTGTCTGAGGCTTGGAGTGGGTAGGTTTGGGTTCACATTTTGGAATAACGAGAAGCGGGTTTCCAGCTGCACATGGTGTCGCTTTGTTTCGTTTGTTCGGCTGTTACATTTCGCAAACATTTTCACAGTGCTAAACCTCTTCTAATCTGTGTCGACCGAGCGTCACCGCATGACGCGAAAATGTTGACGGAAATGCAACTTTTGCGGGACAGTTTTGTGTCGGTCAAAACCCTCGAAACTGGTGTGCGGTTTGTTGCATTTTGCGTGCGTTGTGTTTTGTACACTCCGCGCAACTAAGGGCGCTTCACCTCTCAGTTCGAACAGGACAGTTGTTCGAACAGGCGAAATGTTACATTTTCGCCACTCCTCGTATGGGTGTTCGTGACGTCGCTAGTCGGAAATTTCGCGAATTTGAACAGAGTTGTCACACGGGGCACGAAGCTCTCCATTCCGCACGTTCGAACAGAGTTGTTCGAACAAAGTTGGGTTTGGTGACAGGAATTCCGCATGGACGACTGATTTTATTGGTTAGCAGGCTTCGGGTCGCACTCGAATGTTTGCGACCATTGCAAATGTCGCCATGCAGGAGAAAGTTCATCAAAAAGGACATTGTTGTTGGGAAACAACAAGGTGAGCAGTAGTAGAAGAGCACGAAGAGACTGTTTGACTGGATGGGCGAAAAATGAGTCAAACTTGAATGGCAGACGACAGAATTATTTTTTTGCGACGTTTCGCGAAGTCGTCCAGTACCTGGCGACGTCGCATGTTCGAACAGGCTGTCACCTCTAGTCACGAGCTGTCACATTCACCAAGGTGTTCAAATTTGTGTTCGGATCTCGTCGGGAAACTGTTCGTACAGTGAATTCGTTACGTATGTTCGGATTTTGGCCTTCCAGCCCCGAGGTGATGTGCCCTAAGTCGCAGGTTTTTCGCAGAAAAACCTTCGGACCCCCAAAATCGCAAATTTCCTTTTCCGCGATGCGGAATCCAGTTTCGCGGAATGCATGAATTCGAAGTCCATGATCCGTAACGCTTGAGTACGTAAACTCGATCATAACGGAGCCGTAAGGAAACACACGTGTTGGCGACATTTGCTGTTTTGAAATTAGGGTTATCGCAGAAAGCGGAGACTGTGGGAGGGAATTGCCACAGCAGCATGAGACATGGCTATCCTCGGGATGTACTCGCTGGAAGCAGCATCGATAATGCGAGAGGTGCCTCGAGCAGCAGCAGCAGTCGGGAATTCGCAGCGCCTGCGAGGCATAGAACGACAGCCATTAGTCATTTAATTGGAATGGGAGGAGGTACGGACCCAGCGACTATGAAGACTGATGAGCCAGAATATGAAGGCTTTCGCCATGTGATCCCTACCAGCTTTCTGAACACTTCCGCTTGACGAATTTTTGTGTCTGCTGTCGGATGCATGAATGCATGGATGCATAGTGGGACATTGGATGGATCATGGATGGAATGGTGGGTTGATCTGTGCGACGGAGAGCCAATTCCCGAGGAGGATCGTCCCTTCCACAAGCTAATTCCGCAGCATCACTCCCCTTAAATCCACGCATTCCCTCCCCTCTCCCACCCCACTCACTCATGAATGGCAGCCAATGGCGATGGAGAATCGATTCCCGAGGAGGACCGTCCCTTCCACAAGCTCATTCTCGCAGCGTCGCTCCCCTTGCCTCCACGCACGGCCCCCCTCTCGCCGACCCCACTCACACACCTTCATTCTTCTGAAATCCCATTGGCTCTGCTTCAAGCCTCTCCCGCTCCTGCAGCAACACCAGCACCTGCAGCAGCACCAGCAGCAGCGGTTACAGAACCGTTTCGTTGTGTCGCGAAGGAATCGAGCCATCCATGGTTAGGCATGGTTGACCCAGCAGCAGTTGAAGATCCGTTTCTTTGTACCAGGAGGAAAGATTCGAAAGGCGTGATCTGGGACCGAGTGCTGGGAGGGGGGAGCTATGGATTGGGGAGGAGAGCAGTGGGGAAGGGACAGTACGGAGGGGTTGGGGTGGCGCTGCCTGTTCTCTTCGCCTGCTGTGGGGGTCTCTCGTTTGGTTACCATGTCAGGTACCATTTCGTTTCTTTTCCTTTCTTTCTTTCTTTCTTTCTTCTTCTGTTTTTTTTTTTTCCACCACCAGTAATTTATCCTTCTCTGTGCGTATTGTTCTTTGTCGCATGTCTGATGTTCATTTCGTAAGTTGCCCTCACATGCTTTATAGCCTTTCATTCCAGTCCAGTGATTATGCAATCACCATTCCATCCCCTCCCTCCTTTCCCAGTGTCATCAACGCCTCTCTCCCCTTCCTACTTGCTGACCTACACCAACCCGCAACCAGCATTGCAGCATGTAAGCTAGTAGTTGCACTCACAAGCAAATGAGTAAGTACAATGTTGGAAATTTTATCAATGCGTCTACTACCTTCCTTCTAGATGGGTGGCTTTTTGAGTTAACACCCTGTTTCTCTTCCCCCCCACCCTTTTCCCCCCTCACACTTCTGTCATCTTTCTGCATTTCTTTCGACCTGTTCACCTCTGTTCCACCCCACGCTCCCCCCGCCATCGATCCATACCAGCGCTGGTTGTGAGTATCCCATTGGCTCTGGCAGCAGTGGGGGCGCCGCTGGGTGGGTGGCTTGCTGACGTGGCAGGGAGGAGGCGGGCGTTTCAGATTGCATCCCTGCCGTTCATTGCTGGATCGCTGCTCAGGTGTGTGGCGGAAGGGAGAACGTTCAAACGTGGTTGAAGGAAGGGATTCGGGTTGTTGGGTGGAAGGGGGAAAAAAGGGTGGGTAAAAGTAGAGAGGCGGGAAAGAGAGGGGGGAAGGTTGGGGCGGGGAAGAGAGGGGGGAAAGCGCGGGGGAAAATAGAGGGGGGAAAGTGGGGGGGGGAAAGAGAGGGGGGAAAGGAGTGGGCCATGAAGTGGGGATGGGAGGGTTGAATGCAGAAGAAAGCAATGTACAATTGGTGGTGCCTTATTGTGTTGAAGTGAAACGTTTTCCCTGAGTATGTTCAAGAATTATTTTCTATACTTGTCTCTCCCGCTCCCTTCCCCCATGTAACTCCCGCTCCCTTCCCCCATGTAACTCCCGCTCCCTTCCCCCATGTAACTCCCGCTCCCTTCCCCCACGTAACTCCCGCTCCCTACCCCCATATAACTCCCGCTCCCTTCCCCCATGTAACTCCCGCTCCCTTCCCCCATGTAACTCCCACTCCCTTCCCCCTTGTAACTCCCGCTCCCTTCCCCCATGTAACTCCCGCTCCTTTCCCCCATGTAACTCCCGCTCCCTACCCCCATGTAACTCCCGCTCCCTGTGCTGCTCACATTCCCTTCCTCTCACATATTCATGCTCTCCATGTCGACCTCTGATTGCACCTCATTGCACCTGATCATAGGTCATGCACTGCATCGAACCGCATTGAACCACACTCTGTTCAACCTATCAACTCCCTCCAACCCTCTGCAGTGCAGTGCTGCAGCATCTGCCACGTGGCACATGGTGATTGGCCGAGCGCTTGTTGGAATTGGGCTGGGAATCGTATCTGGCACTGTTCCTCTCTACATATCAGAGGTAGTGTTTGAGCAACCGTGCTGTACCTCTGAGGTACTATTCTGAGTTATTCTTTTCAACATATCTGGTATTATGGAAGTGGCCTTATCTCTATTCTTCTAGTGACCAATTCTTGGCTCAGCCCTCCTCGTCTCCTTCTCCCTACTTTCTCCCTCTAATTGCTGGCCCTATCAACCTCAAACGGGAATCCTCTGTGCCGCTCCTTCTCTTGTTGGCCCACACCCAACTGCAGTAACCCCCGATCCCCACCACCCAACCGATCCCCACCACCCAACCGATCCCCACCACCCAACCGATCCCCACCACCACAGGTAACCCCCACCTCATCGCGGGGCACGTGGGGCACGTTGGCTCAGCTCTCCACCAGCGTTGGCGTCTTCTCTGCTCTGCTGATCGGCTTGCCGCTGGAGCAACATCACAGCTGGTGAGACACGGATGTATGTAATCTCGACCGTGCACTGCTTTTTCCCCGCAGTACCGCATTGCACCACGCCAAAATCATTTATAACCGCTGCTTTCGCAGATCCAAATCAGCCTTCAGCCTTCAACCTTTCGCGTTTTGAGACGTCTGAAACGTGCAGGCTCCTTCATGTGGCTCAAGAAGTTCTCATCTTGAGTTACCTGTTAGGATCCAGGTCGAAACTGTTTTTCTGTGCTCCTTCATGTGGCTCAAGATGTTCTCATGTGGCTCAAGATGTTCTCATGTGGCTCAAGATGTTCTCATCTGCACGTGGTTTTCTGAGTTGCCTCCCATGCCCCTTCCTCATAAAAAGGCTCTTCTCCTCTTTCTGCAGGTGGCGTGGCATGCTTGTCCTGGGCTCTACAAAAAGGCTCTATACCTCCATGCCAAACATGCCAGGTGGTGTTCCTTTCTGCTGTTCGCCATGACAGTGGCAGCATCAAAACCCCTACCCCCCCCCCCCCACCCCCCTGCCCCGCGGCTGCTGCTCACTCACAAAACCGCATTTCACCGCACTGTATTCCAATTCCTGCTCCTGTTCCTGCAGGTGGCGTAGCATGTTTGTCCTGGGCTCTATACCTCCCTGCCTCTTGCTGCTCTGCTGGCTGCTACCCACTCACAAAACCGCCCTTCACCGTACTGCACTCCTATGTCTGCAGGCGGCGGGGCATGTTTCTCCTGGGCGCTCTCCCTCCCTGTCTCTTGCTGCTCGGCATGGCAGTGACAGCACCAAAGAACCCCCACTGGCTGCGCCCACATAACTCCTTTTCACCCCTTTTTCACCCCTTTGCACCCCTGTGTCTGCAGGTGGCGGGGCATGTTTATCCTGGGCGCTCTCCCTCCCTGTCTCTTGCTGCTCGGCATGGCAGTTGCTGCACCGGAGACGCCGCGCTGGCTGCTGCTGGTAGGTACACGCGTACATTGGCAGGTACAAGCGCCATATATGAGGTGGCTTTTGAGTCGACTCAAAATCTCCCTTTCTCGAAATGCCGCTGCTGTGCCTCCCTGTCTCTTGCTGCTCGGCATGGCAACCGTGGCACTGGAGTGGAGACTCCCCGCTGGCTGCTGCTGCTGATACGTTTGCTGCTGCAGGTAGGTAGGTAAACTTGTACATTGGCAAGTACAAGCGCTATATGCCCTTCACGAAATGCCACTGCTGTGCCCTCCCTGTCTGTTGATAGTTGAAAGTTCTCAATACTGCTCCAAATTCCACTCTCTCGCCTTCCCTCCCCTTGTCCTTCCTACCCTTCCGATCCCTGCCCGTCCCCTCTTGCTCTCTGCCCGTTCCCTCTTGCTCTCTGCCCATCCTCCCCTCCCTACTTACCAGCACCACAGCCTGCACGCAGCAGCGCGGGCAGCAGTGATCGTGAGAGGAACGGAGGGGGCAGAAGAGGTGTTGCAGGAGCTCATGTCGACACACCCACTTGCCACCTCTGCACTCACATCCGCTGCTGCTGATGCTCCCAGCAGCACCGCCCTGCACCTCACCAGAAGCTGCTCTGCTGTTGAGGTGCCTCTTGAGCATGCTGCTGGTGCACCCAGCATCACCGCGCTGCACTCCACCAGAAGCTCCTCTGCTGTTGAGGTGCTTCAAAAGCATGGTGCTGATGCAACCAGCTCCGCCCTTCACTCGCCTTTGCTCACCAGCAGCCGCTCTGCTCCACCCCCTGCTGCCTCTCTCTTCCATCCAAGATACCGACGAGGTGAGCGGGTTGGGGGGAGGTGACTCCTGAGTTGAGTCAAAAGTCGCCTTTGCTCACCAGCAGCCGCTCTGCTCCACCCCCTGCTGCCTTGCCTCTCTCTTCCATCCAAGATACCGACGAGGTGAGCGGGTTGGGGGGAGGTGAGGGGGAGGTGGGAACTAGGTGAGGCGAGGAGGAGGTGTCCCTTCGCCTTTGCTCACCAGCAGCCGCTCTGCTCTGCCCCCTGCTGCCTCATCCAAGATACCGGCGAGGTGAGGGGGTTGATAGGAGGTGAGGCATAGGTGGGAGGAGGTGACTCCTGAGTTGAGTCAAAGGTCGCCTTTGCTCACCAGCTGCCGCTCTGCTCCGCCCGCTGCTGCCTCTCTCTTTCATCCAAGATACTTGCGAGGTGAGGTGGTTGGGGAAGATGTGAGGTGGTTGGGGAAGATGTGAGGTGGTTGGGGAAGATGTGAGGTGGTTGGGGAAGATGTGAGGTGGTTGGGGAAGATGTGAGGGGGGTTGGGGAAGATGTGAGGTGGTTGGGGAAGATGTGAGGGGGGTTGGGGAAGATGTGAGGTGGTTGGGGAAGATGTGAGGGGGGTTGGGGAAGAGGTCTCTTTCTGCGTGTCTCGCTCTCTGCCTCAAATCACTTCTTCCCTCCTTCGCCCTCTCAGAGTGCTGCTGCTAAACCCAGTGCTCTTCGCCCTGCAGCAGTTTGCAGGCATCAACGCAGTCGTCTACTTCTCCTTGCATGCTTGTCCTTAGCTACCTTCAACCACCTCCCGCCCATCCCCTCTATCCAACTACCATCACCCTCCACCCAATGCAGTGCTCCTCCTCGGCCCCACGCTCTTCGCCCTGCAGCAGTTTGCAGGCATCAACGCGGTCGTCTACTTCTCCTCTCACGTCTTCCGCTCTGCTGGGTTTTCTTCTGGCATTGCCGCCTCTGTCCTAATCGCCTCGTTCAAACTCGCAGGTAACATCTCCTCCTTTCCCGCCTCTTTCCCTTCTATGTCTTTTCTGTCTACTTCTCCTCTCACGCCTTCCGCTCTGCTAGGTTTTCCTCCGGCATTGCTGCCTCTGTCCTGATCGCCTCGTTCAAACTAGCAGGTATGTGTGAGCCGTCACTGACTTTTGAGACATCTCAAAAGTACGTGTGAGCCGTCACTGACATGCGATTTCTGATTCGACTGGAAAATCCCCTCCGCCCCGTGTGTGTTCTTCATTTCGAGTTGCTGGCTTCTCCTCCTGTAGTGCTGCCTCTGCCCTTATTGTCCTGTTCAAACTTCAAACTCGCACTGATTATAATGTTTCCAGGTACTCAGCCTCTTCACCTCCCGTGTCTCTCCCATGTACTCTCCTCCAACCTCTTGTTGCTCCCATTTCTCTTGTTCCTCTTATCTCTCTCGTTCCTCTTATCTCTCCCGTTCCTCTTATCTCTCTCGTTCCTCTTATCTCTCTCGTTCCTCTTATCTCTCTCGTTCCTCTTATCTCTCTCGTTCCTCTTATCTCTCTCGTTCCTCTTATCTCTCTCGTTCCTCTTATCTCTCTCGTTCCTCTTATCTCTCTCGTTCCTCTTATCTCTCTCGTTCCTCTTATCTCTCTCGTTCCTCTTATTTCTCTCGTTCCTCTTATTTCTCTCGTTCCTCTTATTTCTCTCGTTCCTCTTATTTCTCTCGTTCCCGTCCCTTCATCCCATCAGCTGTGCTGCTGGCAGCGCGACTGGTTGACTCGGCAGGGAGAAAGCCCCTTCTGCTGCTCTCCTTCCTTGGCATGGTACAGAAGCACAGTGCGGTTCAGTGCAGTTCAGAGTGGTGCAGTGCAGTGCAGTGCAGTTCAGAGTGCACAAGTGCCCCAATCGTTTTTTCCAATCATTATCTCTGATGCTCCTCTTTTTGGCAAATGCTATCGCTCCACTAAAGAACTTTCAGAAGCTCAGGTCATGTGCTCAAACCAAAGATTCAGAATTTATTTCTCTTTGAATCTGTCATTTTCCCTTTTCTTCCTTCCCTCATCTCCCTCCCTTGCTTTCCCTCCCTTCCTCTCCCTCCCTTGTTTGTCTCCCGCCAAATCCATGAATGGCGTTGCTCCAGGGATGCTCTATGCTGTTCCTCTCGGCGGTCCTATCCTGGCCTCGCCTGCAACCCCGTGCACCACTTCTCTCCATTATCGGCACAATCACGTGAGATAAGCACATCTTTTGCTCTATCTTTTGCCACTACACATTTATTTATGCTCCTGCGTTTGTTACTATCACAAATGCATGGAAAAGCAAGTAAGAATTTGCAGATACAGTGTCGCATTTCTATGCACCATGACATGCTCCCAAAACTGATACGACTTCTCGCTTGCTCATGTTGGCCCATCATGACGTAAATATGAACAAGAGATATGCAGCAGCATGGTATACAAGTAGCAACAGCATTCTCCTGTGGAGTCGTTTAGTCAACTCAAAAAAAGAAATATAACTTGTCTGTTTTCCACCATTTCATTCTCCATCATAACCTGACTGCAGGTACGTCACAGCATTCTCCTGTGGGGTGGGTCCTATCCCCAGCCTGTTGCTCCCCGAGATATTCCCCCTGCAAGTGCGAGCTGCAGGAGTGGCCTTCAGCATGGCTGTTCACTGGGTATGTTGGCTCTTCTTTGTCGGCCGTGGCCAGCTGTATGCTTGTTCTAGCCAGGTTTGTTTAAAGAAACCTAGTTCTGCCACGTCATCCCCTATATTCTGTTTCTTCCCCTCTTTCCAGGTGTGCAACTTTTGTGTTGGGTGCTTCTTCCTTCCGGCAACAGCACTGGTTGGGGTCAGTGGGGTGTACCTTTTCTTTGGCTCTGTGTGCTTTATCTCCATAGCATTTGTCTATTGTTGTGTGTTTGAAACCAAGGGGTTGTCACTGGAAGAGATAGGGGATACTTTTGAGGCGGCTTCCAGCGTCAAAAGGAAAGCTTGACCAGCCAGATGATCATCAGCAATAAATTCAGCATTACTATTCATTTACTGCATTATTGCTATTTTCATCAGAAGCAGAATGTGTTCAGCTCAGTGTCTGAACACCCGCATCTACGGCTCCGCGTTACTCTGATGTGCCGTCCATTTATTTCCTGACGCTCCAACCGTCTGCTGCCCTCTACCTTCCACTTACCTCCTTGAATTCCTTACTGCACCGCTCTCTCTTGCGATGTCACCAACCCCTCAATATCACTTCTTCCTCTTGCACTCCTCGTACGCCTTATAAGCCTGCTTATCACACTCGTCCTTCAAGGGTTTCACCATGCACCACTGCACGGCACGCTTATACTCCTCCACGCATTTGCTGAGGTCCTTTGCATTATTATCACTGGGGGTGTCGCCATGGTTGTCATGGTCGTGATCATTGTCGTCTTCGTCATCGTCATCGTCATCATCATCATCATCATCATCATCATCATCATCATCATCATCATCATCATCGTCATCGTCTTCGTCATCATCATCGTCATCATCATCATCGACATCATCATCGTCATCATTATCCCCATCAAGCAGACGCCTCATTCCGCCGGTCGTCGGGAATGTAGGCTGAGTCTGCATCTTCGTTACATCACCTGCCAGGTGCACAGAAAGCAGAAATGTAAATCATAAATATCCGAGCATCTGTCAACTAGGCTTTGTGGAGCATGCACATATGCCGTCATCATAAAGTGCGCAATTCACTTCAAAAGTCCGACCTTAGGTCCTCCGACAGTAGTCACAGAGGAAATCGCAGAAGCTTCATACACTCATAACGTACGCGATTGGCGGCTTACCTCTTAACGGGATAACCAGTCGGCCTTCTGCAGGCGAGCAATAGGAAAGCGCGAGGATGAAAGCGATGAGAACCGCGAGAGACAAGAACACAGAGAAGCGAGCCATGCTGATTCCTTTGTGCAATCGGGCTAAATTATACTTGGGGGATAGTGAGATGTCCCTGCGAAAAGTGATTGTTTACAAAGGAGGAATCCCGAGATCTTTGAACATCTATGAGGCGCACTGGATGGTGACAAATCGGCTGTGACATGACCTTTATTATTGGGATGGAATTCGAGATGAGAGGGGTAAAGGCTGGCGAGGCGAGAGGAACGGAAGATGCGGCGCGAATCATGGCAACGTCGCTTCTAGCGGCGTGGCGAAGCAGTCGGAGCAATTATTGGTGTCAACTATTCCTAGCAGCGGCATTGATGCATAGGTCTCCCTGCTTGGGAGATGTTGCTTCGTTGTGACTTGCGAAATTATTGGTGCTAGGTTGCGGTGCGGGGGGATGGTCTCGAGGCGCGACATTATTGCTTTGGTGTGCCATGTGCGTTGGCCGTGACAGGGGCATTTGGAGAAACTGGACCCGCGAATTCGCGAGGTCACCCTCGAAACCTATGGTACCATCGTGTTACGAACGTCTCCACGATTATCCATTTCTTTACTAACCTAAATTCATCTAAATTCATCTGACGCACCTAAGCTGACATTGAAATCTTTGGAGAAAGACTGTCGAATACAAATGGAATTGAAAGCTAATTATTAATGTTGTTAAGAGCTGAAGGAAGCAGTAGGCCACAGGAGTGGGGAGGGAGTTGCATGCAGAGCGAGCCATCAGGGGAGTGGTGGCTCATTGTTGAACCATCAGCTCTTATTGTCATCACCACAAGGCAGGGTTGCCAGTCAAACCAGACAGATCCACATTGAACCCCTCTGTCCATGCCTCTGACCACAGAGAGGCAAACCCACCACAGTTACCACCATTACCACCACCAGCAGTACCAACGCCACCGCCACCAGTAGCATTGCCTCCAGCACAAACCACAGAGCCTGCAGTAGGTCCTATGACTGAAGGAGTGGGTGGTTCGGCAGTTAAGAATTGGTCCCATTGGTTCGTTCCCCAGCCTGTAGGTGTGGGGCATGGTAGCTCTGCTGTTGCTGCTATTGATGCAGCAGCTGATGCTTCAACTGGAGGTGTAACCACTGCTCCTGCTCCTCCTGCTGCTGCTGCTACTGCTGTTAACGTTTCATGTGGAGAATAGGAGGAAACACCGCCTTCCGAGGTACACATTTCAGCGAAAGCAGCACGTGCCACGTTGGCAACATCGACCAGCGGGGGAGGAGGAGGTGGTCTCTTCCGGCGAAATTTTTGCGGAGCCGAGATGCTTGCTTCTGGTGCTGGTAACGGTGTAATAGGCGAAGGAACGTTGTGATTGGACACAAAGCCAATTTGATCGTCGCACTCCATACGTTCCGCCGTTTCCACCTTCGCGGCTCCCGCTACGCCACCTTCGTACTCGCCTGTGATTTGCCCCAGAAGCTCGTGAATGCACAGCTTATCTTCGTCGAGCACTTCTCCGCCAAACCCTTCCGCAACCGCGCGGATTGGTTGCGCATCCCCGCACAGTGCTGCTCCCACCTCCCCCAACCTATCGCCCGCGCAAGTTGAGATTTTGCAAGAAATTTTCGTCCCCGAGGTCCCTTCGGACTGCTGCTTCGCGCCCTTCGTAGAGACTTCCTCCTCCCACTGCAAAATTTTGGGCAGGCTGAATTTTCGGCTGTGATTTCCCTCCGCTGGGACCGAAGCAGACGACGCCGGGTCTTTCGCGGGAAAATTCTGCGATGACTTCAGCGATTTCTCACAAAGCGCTTGCGACGGCTGCGAATTCTGCTTTGTTTGTGCTGATGTCGTCATAGATAGCGGAGCTGCGCGTTTCTGCTGCTGATGTTGTCGCTCCTGTGACAATTTCTTTCGCAAAAGTCGCACAGCTTTCCCCAGCTCTGGCACCAGCACCCGCCCTGGATCCAACAAGTCAGCCACGGAGCGCCCAGCTTTTTCGCCGCGCAATGACGACGCGAGCGCCGAGGGATCCGCCCATTCTGAGCACGAGCTAAGCGAACAAGAGCTGGTAAAGTCATTACACGAAGAAAACTCGCGTTTCGCCCTGCTCTTTTGAAAATTGACCTGGCTGGTCAGCTGGTTCGACGACGACGATTTCGGAAGTTCGCTGTCAGAAGACAAAAAGGGCTCAGAGGAGGATGTAGCGAGTTCACCAATACGATTCCCCAAAACGGCTCGGGAAAGCGAACTCCTAGTGGCGGCACGACACGTGGACGTTCGTAGCAGAGGCGGCTCGGCCAACCGAAGCGGGGAGACATCACGGAGTGCACTGCTGCGAGATGGTTGTGCTGGCGTCGACATGGCGCGAAGGAGCGGAGGGTCCGATTCAACTTCGAGCGTTTGGGAAGTTGTTTCACGATAAGAGCCGTACGCAGGCGAGTCGAGACGGAACGGCCGGCTCGGCATTACGAGGAGCTTCGTAGATGAAACGGAACACGACGGCGATGAAACGACTCGCGCAGCACCGTCGGGAGCGGAGAGCGACGTGAGATGCGGCGGCTCGTACGGTTCAAACGTGCACGGCTTCTGTTTCTTGACGGTCGGCGAAAAGGCAGGGTCCGTCAGTTCTGCTGGCCACTGGCGGCTCGGGAGCCAAGCTGACGGCGCATCCTTTGTCTTCGAGGCGACTCGAAGGGCGTCCATAAAGCTCATTTGGGAAAACGTCATGGCTAATCCAAGTTAGAGTAGTGGCCAGCAACAAATCTGCCGGATTAATCTACGAGGCACGAGCGGAACCTCCTCTGCTGGGAGAATCAGAAGTGGACTGAAAATGCGGAGGAAGTTTTCCGGATAACGTTTCCTGTTGCGGTGGACGTTTATTGAAACTAGCCAGCCCGCCAGAACAAAATTGATCGTTTCCAGCCAGCGAACACCAAGGTTGCCGTGGGAACAGGGTTCCTTCGACCAAGCCAAGTCGCTGCAAGCAATCTATCGTGAACGAGATGCTTGGGTTTCCCTGGATGGGGTGAGACAAACCTAGGAGTTCCACCAATGCCACAACTTCCGAGTGGGTTGAGCCTAAGTGGCTTTGGTTGGTAGGAATGGACGGAGGAGAAAGAGGCACTGGAAACGGCCTTGCTGCAAAAGCACTGTAACGAATGGATGGTGCGAAGTGATGGCAGGGAAGCAGGCAGCCATGTGATGTGAGCAATGTTGCCCAGCAAAGGCGGCCAGGCGAGGCGAGGCCAGAGCAGGTAGGGCGAGGCAAGCGATGTCAGAAGAGTGAACCTAGAAGCGAGGAGGGAAGAGAAGACGCCAAGCTGAGCAACTAAGGGCCTTCAAACTCAAAACTCCCTTCCCTCCCTCATTGTGGGTGCTCCGATCTGACAGGTATCTGGAGGTGAGAGGTGGTTGGATGGAGCTGGTAACCGGGCAGCAAATGGCAGGTGGGACGAATGGCATTCCGCTGCTGAGCTGAGAGCTTCACGATGACGAGGAGGCGAAGACGAGCCCATGAGATGTGGGGGAGCCAAATTGTTGGACACTGGTCAGTCTGGGTGGGTGGTGTGGTGGAGGGCGCATGGGTGCTGGTGGAAACGGTGTGGGTTACTTCACGTGAATCTGGTTGTGCAGCTAAGCGCAGAATTTTCCCGGAAGTGAATTCTTCTTGTTGGGGTGTGCTGGTGGGAAATCAAAACAAGCCTTCTCGAATTTGTATTGAAGTCGGTAGTTTACGAAACAGACTTGAGTTCTTCAAGGGTTTACGTAAAAGAGTCTTTGAGGAAGCTCTTATGGCGCTGCGGGCCGTCGCTTCAGCTGTTGGTCGCAATCGCAAGAGATTTAGATGAAACGGTCAGCAAGATCGGCGGCATTGGGAAGCGGACTTAGTGACTGATTTATCGTGATTGGTCACTATGGGGCTTCCTCCGTCAGTAACCACTGACAAGGAGTCTGGATAATTTCCCACCAGACTCGAAATGTCATCAGCCACACGTACTGTACCCCCTCCTCAATTATTGAACATTGTGGCTGTGGTTGCTTTGAATGTGTTCAATCAACTGCCCAACGGCTTGAGGCACACCAAACCAAACCACCAAACCTAACTGACACACGTCCCCATCAAATGACACTGCCCCGTCGGGACACGCTGCCTCGTCAGCATCACGACATGACATGACCCACGTGCAGTTCGCACCAATTTTCATTGAGCGGCCTACACATGACTAGAACTCGTGACCCTGTTGCACAGATTCTCCTTGGAGCCAAAGGTGGCAGCAAACGAATATACCCACAAACGGGGTACATTACCTTATTCTACAAAGCTTATCACATGCATTTCAGTATCACACTTGCAGGGGGTAGCCCCCCTAGGAGATGAGGGGATAACAATTTTGGCCCTTAACAGTACGAGGGAATACAAGAATGAGATCTCAGCCTCTCTCTGAAACAGAGAGCGCGTAAACGGGCTCCTTCCGACTAAACGGACCCGTAGGAGATTGTTATCAACCTAGACAGTTCACTATTGCGGTCTAATTTCTGCGTTGATACTGGAATGCTAATATCTATATTATTCCAACATCGAAAAACACACCATCGGCTGCACAAGCTATCAGTCAGGCACGCTTTTCGTTCTTCAAAGTATTAATAGGGAAAACATATGATAGATCGTCCTGGCTCAGGCGAGGCGCTCCTGGTTGATGATGAAGGAACATAGACAGCAGATATACACCAGAGGAAACAACGTATGAGATGGACTCAAATGAGGTGGACAAGAACATGAATAAATGTCAAAAGAAGCAATAAATGTGATGGATGGTATTGGGGACAAGGTGGCTTGCATGGTATAGTGGTTCACCTACATGGTATGGTGATACGCAAAGTGCAAATTGATGTGTGTATTACAGCAGGCCGATTGCATTACATCTTCATCGACCACTTACGTAAATGCTCTTGCAATCTTGAAATAGTACGATGTTGCCCACGTTTTGTATCTTCCCTCTTTGCACGCATCATCGGTGAAAAGCGTGGCGAAACCACAACCGGCATGTTTATCCATATGATCCAGCGTGTACGTGGTCGTGAAGTTGCCGGCCACCTCCTTCGGGAATTGATTGCAGCCAAATTGTAAGCGGAAGGTGTAGGGCTTGGATGCGTTGCCTCTAGCGTTACGGTCCTGGATGAGAGTCATACTGCTGGCGAACACACTCCGATCTTGCCCTGAGAATGGATTGCACAAGGATGTAAGGGAAGGATGAGAGGGACCGAGGAGGAAGTTGTGATGTTACGAGAGACAAAAGAAAAGAAGGTGAAGGCAAACAGAAGGCGGGAAAAGTAAATCGTTTGCTGCAAGGGATCATGGCTCCAGATTGAGAGGCTTTCAAAAGTCCTTACAACTTCAGGACCCTGTCTCCTTTTGGGTGCCTCAAGGGTCCTCACAAGTCATCCTTAAAGCCACCTTAGAAGTTGAGAGATTGTCCGCTTCACCACTGTGCTACCCTACCTCATCAGCCCCCAAACTCTTGCAGAGCCGCGCAAATGCAGCTTTGGATGAAAAGAGATGAAGCAAACAGGGTAACATTTGAATCTTACCCGCTTTGCATCCTGTTGCGGACATCCCATAGCCTGGAGGGCACTCGCAGTACGGCACGACCACCTCTTCAGAATCACTAGATTGAGATGAAGCAAACAGGCAGGGCGGCATTGAATCTTACCTGCTTTGCAGTCGGTTGCGGTCATCTCATAGCCTGGAGGGCACTCGCAGTAAGGCACATCCGCCTGCAGGTCACTAGATTGAGATGAATCAGATTGATTCTTAATCCGAGTCTTACCCTAGATGCATTCTGTTGCGCTCATCCCATAGCTTGGAGGGCACTCGCAATACGGCACGACCGCCTCTTCAAGCGTGAGTGAGACAAATGCATGCAGCGTGTGATTGAAGGGTGGGAAGCAGGCGGGGCGCTGGTGAATCTTACCCGCTTTGCATTCTGTTGCGGTCATCCCATAGCCCGGAGGGCACTCGCAGTACGGCACGACCGCCTCTTCGGAATTATTTGCACGGATGGTCTTGCAGGTGGCTAAAGAGGGGCATGTGCCACAGGGTGATTCTGAGCAACACAACAAGCAGAGGGGCATACAGGGCATGGCAAAGAGATGCCAAAAGGTAAGAGGTATGGATGGTCTTGCAGGTGGCTCCAGTGGGGCATGTGCCACAGGGTGATTCTGAGCAACACAGCAAGCAGAGGGGCACGTGGGCAAGCAGAGGGCACGTGGGCAAGCAGAGGGCACGTGGGCAAGCAGAGGGGCACGTGGGCAAGCATAGGGGCACGTGGGCAAGCATAGGGGCACGTGGGCAAGCATAGGGGCACGTGGGCAAGCATAGGGGCACGTGGGCAAGCATAGGGGCACGTGGGCAAGCATAGGGGCACGTGGGCAAGCATAGGGGCACGTGGGCAAGCATAGGGGCACGTGGGCAAGCATAGGGGCACGTGGGCAAGCATAGGGGCACGTGGGCAAGCATAGGGGCACGTGGGCAAGCATAGGGGCACGTGGGCAAGCATAGGGGCACGTGGGCAAGCATAGGGGCACGTGGGCAAGCATAGGGGCACGTGGGCAAGCATAGGGGCACGTGGGCAAGCATAGGGGCACGTGGGCAAGCATAGGGGCACGTGGGCAAGCATAGGGGCACGTGGGCAAGCATAGGGGCACGTGGGCAAGCATAGGGGCACGTGGGCAAGCATAGGGGCACGTGGGCAAGCATAGGGGCACGTGGGCAAGCATAGGGGCACGTGGGCAAGCATAGGGGCACGTGGGCAAGCATAGGGGCACGTGGGCAAGCATAGGGGCACGTGGGCAAGCATAGGGGCACGTGGGCAAGCATAGGGGCACGTGGGCAAGCATAGGGGCACGTGGGCAAGCATAGGGGCACGTGGGCAAGCATAGGGGCACGTGGGCAAGAATAGGGGCACGTGGGCAAGCATAGGGGCACGTGGGCAAGCATAGGGGCACGTGGGCAAGCATAGGGGCACGTGGGCAAGCATAGGGGCACGTGGGCAAGCATAGGGGCACGTGGGCAAGCATAGGGGCACGTGGGCAAGCATAGGGGCACGTGGGCAAGCATAGGGGCACGTGGGCAAGCATAGGGGCACGTGGGCAAGCATAGGGGCACGTGGGCAAGCATAGGGGCACGTGGGCAAGGATAGGGGCACGTGGGCAAGCATAGGGGCACGTGGGCAAGCATAGGGGCACGTGGGCAAGCATAGGGGCACGTGGGCAAGCATAGGGGCACGTGGGCAAGCATAGGGGCACGTGGGCAAGGATAGGGGCACGTGGGCAAGCATAGGGGCATGTGCCACAGGGTGATTCTGAGCAACACAGCAAGCAGGGGAGACACAGGGTATGGCAGAGACATGGTGGAGTGAGCACAGCAACTGGTCTAGCTGCAGATGAATGTTTAGAGCGAGCCGCAAAAGGGCCAGCTGCACCAAATGATAGAGCTAGGGGAGAACAAGTGCCGATGGGTTGGATCAGGTGTACAGAAAAGGCTAAGAACCATGCTCACTTAATTCACCAATGCTCACTCCATTTGCCCTCGCTCACTCATTTGCCCATGCTCACTCTATCTGCCCATGCTCACTCCATCTGCCCATGCTTACTTTATCTGCTCATGCTCACTCCATCTGCTCATGCTTACTCCATTTGCAAGAGCGAAATCCATCAGCGTTGAACACACAGTCCCCCTCCGGTCCGCAGCCCAACAAGTCGCAACCCATGTCTGAGTGGAAGAAGGGGTAAAACAGAGTAGCCACGTGATATGAGTAAGTTGCCCAACAAGTCGCAGCCCAACAAGTCGCAGCCCAACAAGTCGCAACCCATGTCTGAGTGGAAGAAGGGGGGAAATGAAAACAACGGGGATAATGCTTCAGAGAAGAGAGAGATACAGCAGGCGGCACATGCATGATAGCAGGTCAACCACATGCATGATAGCAGGTCAACCACATGCATGATAGCAGGTCAACCACATGCATGATAGCAGGTCAACCACATGCATGATGGCAGGTCAACCACATGCATGATGGCAGGTCAACCACATGCATGATGGCAGGTCAACCACATGCATGATGGCAGGTCAACCACATGCATGAGTCGCAAATATGCACAACAAATTTCCTCCGTCGATGCGAGACCTGTGGGGCCAGCAAGTCACCGATGCTAAACAGAATTGACTTTTGAGTCAACTCATAGCCAAGTTTTGAGGCACCTGAACAAAATACCAAAGGCAATGCATCTCACAGATGCAAACCAGCTCGCCGAGAGGCACGTGTAGAAAAAAGGCACTAAAAAAATAGAGATCGTTGCGAATCACGTTTGACGCACTCCCAAAAGTTTGATACTGAAAGAATCGATATCACTGCAGAAACTCACCGCAAAACAGTTTGTCCGGAAGCAACTCATAGCCCGCGTCGCACTCGCAGGTGGGTTCGCCGCTCCCCTTCCTCACACACTTGCCATTGGGCCCGCAATTCACTGTAGCACAATTGTCTGAAGGGTAAGAGACCCAGGCAAGCGGAGACGTAGCATCATATAAGAAAACAATAAGTTCTAAATGGTCGCAGAGTTGGACATGCATGGAAGCCGCAAATTCCTGCATGATATTTAGATTGAAGGGAGGCCATGTTTCAAGAACTGGGTTTGGAAAGCAAGGCACGGGCTCTGTGTTGCTCTCCTTAAACTCACCAATGCAAGAGAGCGAATCATCTGACGGCTTAAAGCCCGTGTTGCAACTACAGAATGGATTCCCGTTCGCATCCTTTGTGCAGTTGCCGCCAGGGCCACACTTCACCGCGTCGCACAAGTCTGCAAGGAAAAGGGGAACCGGGCACGTGGAAAGATTTCATCATATCAGAAAACCATAAGATTGTGATCTTGACATTCAATCCTAAGGGACACTGAGTTGAATATGCGTGCAATCCGTCACTCTCACTCACAAGAAAGTTGAGAGAGGAGGCCAAGTTTCAACTGGGTTTGAAATGCAATAAATGCACCGATGCACTGTGATGCTCTCCTACTCACCTATGCAAGAATGGGAGACATTTGATGGCTTAAAGCCCGCGTTGCAAGAACTGGGTTTGGAACGCAAGGCTGATGCACTGTGTTGCTCTCCTCCTGCTCACCAATGCAAGAGAGCGTGTCATTCGACGGCTTAAAGCCCGTGTTGCAACTACAGGATGGCTTTCCGTTCGCATCCTTCACGCAGTTGCCTCCAGGCCCACACTTCACTGCGTCGCACAAGTCTGCACGGAAAAAAGAAATACGGAGAAAGGAAATGAAGACGAGGTTTAAAGACCAAGGTAATGTAAGAATCATGGGTGGAATCGGATACCTCAAGCATCGTACCTTGGCAGGTGCCATTGACGGCAGTAAATCCCTGGTTGCATTGACAGGTGACGCCCTTGCTGTCAGTCGTTGGCATGCACGTGGAGTTGGCTGGACACGTGGCGTGCTGGCAGGTGATTTCTGCAATGGGAGGGGAGCCAGCACGGGATAAGAGAGTCATGGGTAGCACAGAGACACGTGACGCCCTTGCTGTCAGTCGTTGGCATGCACGTGGCGTGCTGGCAGGTGATTTCTGGCAGCATGGGGTGAGATGAGAAGAGAGCCACGTGGGTAGCACAGAGACACGTGGGTAGCACAGAGACACGTGGGGTGAGATGTGTGCAGCGCGGCGGGTAAGACCAACACAGGGGTACGACAATATGCGGCGAGGAGAATCAAGCAATGCGTGCAAAGCAACGAGGCAGGGAAATGAGGCGGGGAGCCAAGGAGGCAAGGAGGTGGGGAGGCAAGGAGGCAAGGAGGCAAGGAGGCAAGGAGGCAAGGAGGCAGGGAAGCAGGAAGGCAGGGAGGCAAGGCACGCACCACACTTGCAGGAGACGGAAGTCCATCGGGCAACCTTCTTTGAGCTGCACGCAGGGATGTCAGAAGCACATTCAGGAGAGACACGGGACATTACATTAGGGCGGCACAACCCGAAGCACGACTGAGGCATCATTGGTAACTCCCCACGAATGTGGTGGGGAAACTCATTCCCCCGCCCCCATTTCCACCTGCCCTGTACCCAGGACCCACCTGGGCACGTGGAAGAATCTCCTTAGAGCAGCAAACTGCGGCTGCAGCACCTCATCCAGCGCCTTGCCCTTGCAGGCCGGGTTGGCAAAGAACCGCAGCTGCTTGCACGCCGCACCTCCACCCTTCCCACGCGAACCACCGCCGCTCTTGCTGCCGCCGCCCCTGCCGCCGCCCGTGAGCCCGTGCCACCACACCTGCACGTCACCCGCCGCCTTGCGCGCCGCCCGGGGAAGGCTGAAGCAGCGGAGGGCGTCGAAGCTGACGGGGACGCTCACGCCCGACACCTTGATCTGCGTTGCCACGTGGACACTTGCGTCCACCGCCCCAACCCCGCCGCCCCCATCACCCACATCCACCCCCACCCCCACGCCCATGTTCTCATTCCCGCTTCCTGCGGAGATCTCGGTTTTGAGGATTCTGGCTGTCGCAGCCTCGCTTGCAACCTCGCTTGCTTCTCGCACTCGCACGCCCGCGTTGAGGGGATTCCCGCGTTCGCGCGCCGTCATGTGCGCCGTGGCGACCGCTGAGAGCAGAGGGGAGGAGCGTGGTGAGAGGAGGAGAGGGAGGCAGAGGGGACAGAGGCGGAATGGGGCAGAGAGTGCGTTCTTCTCAGATGTAGTGAACAGGAATGGGCCTCATTAGATCAAGATGTGGCAGATCAAGCAGACTCTGCTTTTTGTATCCAGAATAGGCGGATCAACTTGAAGAAGGCTCGGAGCCGTCACGGTGGCGCTTTTTGTATCTAGAGTACCGTCAGCACGGTACATGTGGTGTCTATCCATCGGAGTACTATCCAGCGGCGTCCTATCCAGCGGTGTGCTTGCACCAACGGTCGACAAGCCATTCGATGCGCTTGTAAGAACCCCCCAAGTTGGGCCCGACGGTCTAGCGGGAGGTCTTACACATAGCTTGTGAAAAAAAGTAGAAACGTCACAGAGATATGAGCCGCTTATGAGTACAAGCCGCTTGGGAACGACAAGGAGAGAGAAGCGACTCACCGCAGATGACGGCGAGGACGAGGAGAGGAAGCAGCGTGGGAGGAGAGGCAGCCATGCGGTCAAGCTGCCACGTCAGGTGGGGTCAAGCTGCCACGTCAGGAGGGTCAAGCTGCCACGTCAGGTAGGGTCACGCTGACGTGACGTCAGGTGCAGTATTTTCTTGCGCAGCACGTCGCTGCCACTGTGGTGTACGGCACGCTCTCAGAGTGCCTTGCAACCACACTCGCACGTCGCACGCGTGAGTCACGCAATGTCAGGGCGCTGCTGCTGCCACTGTGGCGCCTCAAAACGCGCTGCTGCCACTCTGGTGGGCGGTGAGATGTCTCTTTCTTCTGCTGGTACGTTTGGCGCACGTCGCTGCTACTGTGGTGGGCGGCGCACTGAGATTTACTCGCAACGATCGTTGCAACAAAGTTCGGGGCGCAATTTTTTTGCAGAGGAGACTCTCACATCGCACGCGTGAGTCACGCGAAATGCGTAGCGCAATTTCAGGAGAGATGACTCTTTCTTCTGCTGGTACAAGGCGCTGAAAAGGCGCAGCTCGATACGTACAGGTACTATGGTTTGCTGAATGCTGCTGGCTTTGCTATCATACGGAACGAGAAAATGGAACGGAAGCAGCAGAGAGACTCTATTGCTGCTCTGGTGGTGCCCCCATCCATGTACAGTTCGACTTGGATTGGACTCTCGCCAATTTCCTGAGGCTAATGAATGTACAGTTCGAGGCGCTACTGGGAACGCGACCTTTCGAATCGCGTTTGGGAATTGGGGGTTCTGCGAGTGACAAGCGCATGCTAGAAAGCATGGCGACTGAATCAACAGTCGCCTGCAGGGTCGCCTGAGCGACTGCAGTCGCCTGTAGTGTCGCTCTGGCTCGTGAACGACTGTGGAGCCTGAGTGAAGCAACAGGATTGGAGCTTGCAGCTGAACAAACGAATTATTGGGGTAATGCGGGCTCTGCGATCTCGCCGAATGTTCAGGGGGAGGGAGGTCGGAGTTCCGCTCGTCGCAGCGATGTGAATTATTATCAATCGCACGGCACACATTTGGTCATCTCTCAGCGGGGTGAATTATTGCTAATCTTACAGCTCAGATTTGCCCACTCCCTCCCATGCAACATGAATTATTGCAGTCGCGCAAGCGCAGGGGATGCGCAAACTTGGTGTGCGACAGACGAACCCACAGTCTCGAACCACAGTAGAAAATAGGTTCGTTAATAGGAACACAACTGAAGTTTGTACCTCGGTTCTCTTCACAACCTTAATAGGTTCACAAAACTCTATAATAGCTTTGTGGAAAGGTTGTGAAGAGAACCGAGGCAAGAAATTATATTTGGGGAAAAGCAACTTCAAGTCCACCATGTTCCCAAGGTCGCGGATGTTGTCAGAAGTTGATATAATCTTGCAGCTCAAGTGTCAAAATACTTTTAGCTCTAAGCCCTAGTCAACCACTGCATTGTGTAGACGAACCGTTGTGCAGCGTAACACATCTGATTGACGCACACCATCACCCCTTCTCACACTTGTGAAACTATGGCTTGTACCTAGCATTTTAGCAGTTTAGTCATAGAGTACTCGAAGGTGACTGGAACTCCCCGGAGGTCTCCCCTCATCAATCTACGATCCCCCCTCTCTTCACTTTGATCTGCTATTTGTTGGGCTGAGAAATGCCCTTAGGATCTTTGCAGGGGTGAACTCTGGGTAGGACTGATGTAGTAGCGGAAGCGTTTTAATGAAGAGTTGTGAACCACCTTGCGCTAGTATGTGAGGGCAAAGTAAGTTGATTAAGGCAAAGAGATACAGGATTATGTCAGAGTACAAGGAATATGAAGAGATACAGTTGTAACTACTTTACTGTTGCTATTGCGGTTCGATACAGTGACGACTCGGGCAACTGCTCTGTAGCGAGTCAGTTGTGTGTCCTTGCTGTCGCGCTGTACTTGTCAGGTCAAAGGTCGCTGACCTTTGACTTTCGCGTAACCTCCAGCAGTTAATTCAACCTCCGAGGGTTGACTCGCTGGTGCTTCGATATGCTTCGCTTCGCTTGTGCCTTGGTGTTTCGACACGACAGAGGCGCTTAAGCTTGATTGTTTCCAACTCTCCCCTTCGCTTCTGGAGTGTCGCTGTTGGTGACGTGGCTCTGTCCAGTCGGCAGCATGCAGTACTCGAACTTTTGTTTTCCGAGCTTCTTGGTCAAGTAATCAGCTGCCATCTCGGATGTGGGGCAGTATGACAGCTCGAGTCTCCCCTTCTCGATCTCGTCCTTCATGAAGAAGTAACGCAGGGCGATATGTTTCGTCCTGTTCGCGAAGCCGTTCTTGTTGGCAATGCGAATTGCTGACTGGTTGTCGCAGAACATGGTGAAGCTGGGTAATTGAGCTAGCTTTGCTTCTTCCAGTAGTTCGCAAAGGTAGAGTCCTTCCTTGGTGGCTGAGTAGAATGCTATATATACTGCTTCAGCTGAGGAGAGCGCGATTAACTCCTGTTTGCTCGACTGCCAGGAGATAGGTCCGATGGGTTCGAACCGATAGACGTAGCCGGTGCGCGAGTGTCTGTTGTCGGAGTCGCCCGCGTGATCGGCGTCGACGTAGCCGATTAGCTTAGGTGTTGTAGTTGCGTTCTTGTGGTAAGTTAGACCGATCGTCGGGGTGCTGACGAGGTAGTGAAGAGCGCGGTCGAGCTCCGCCAGGTGTTCCGTTTCAGGCTTCTTGAGATAGGTGGCGAGCTGGCTTGCAGAGTATGATAGATCCGGTCGGCAAGTGGAAGCGCCTTGCATATATATACAAGCAAGGTCAAGAGGCAAGCGCCTTGCATATATATACAAGCAAGGTCAAGAGGTGAGCAAGTGAGGCAAGGCAGGCACAAGACCCAGCTGAGTACAGAAGCGCTGATGATCACAAGGCGCAAGCGCCTTGGTGAAGATATAAGCAGTGTTGGCCTCAGAGGCCACGTACGCAAGACGCAGCTGACCACGCTACTGCAGCTCACGAGGAAGGAAGTAGCAAAGAGCAATGTGCTTCGTTCTGTGCTCCAGTCTCTGCTCTCGACACAAGGCCAGCATGGCCTTGTTGTCTACGTACAGCACTAGAGGAGAACGAGGCGGCTCTCCAAGGTCAGTCAGCAGGTAGGTGAGCCAGCAAAGCTCCTGTGCAGCCATGGCCCCGGCGTAGATCTCAGCCTCACAACTGGAGCCGAGAACAGAAGACGAGCGGGTAGCTCACCACGAAACAGAGCCGGAACCAAGGCTGAAGGTGTAACCCTGTGACGACCGCTGCGTAGCCTGGTCGTCAGCCGAAGAAGCGTCTGCGTGCCCAGTGAGGACCACTGGACTCTGCCCTCCAAGCACAAGCCCCATGCCCGACGTACTGCACAAGTAGCGCAACACCCTCTTCGTTGCAGCCATGTGCTCTGGTCGGTGTCTCCCAGGAGCAACATAGCGTGTGAGAATGCTAAGAGGGTATGCAAGGTCAGGTCGAGTGCAGCTCATCAAGTACATGAGGCAGCCAACAAGCTCTGGGTACGGGCCACTCGACTCTACGGACTCATCCGAAGGCAGAGCTGAGAGCGAGTGGCGAATAGGCAGAGGAGTGGCCTGAGGCGAGGAGTACGTGAAGCCGAAGAGCTGAAGGACCTGCTGCACCATGTGTGACTGAGTCAGGGTAATGGTGCGGCGTGCTCTGTCCCGGGTGATCTGCAAGCCAAGGTAGTTGCGCAGTTCACCTAGGTCTGTGCGCGTGTGTCTCTTCTGCAGCTCGGACTTCATGTGGGCGAGTCCAGTAGTGTCAGCTGTGGCAAAGACCAAGTCATCAACGTACACGAGGATGTAGAACGGCGGCAAAGAGGTGTCGGTGCGCAGAAACAGCGACGGGTCGGCAGTAGAGGGAGCAAACCCAAGAGCCGCAAGTGTAGTCCTCAGTGTGTCGTGCCACTCACGCGGTGCCTGGCGGAGACCGTAGACTGGCCGCCGGAGGCTCCACTGGGTGCCAGGTGGAAAAGACCCAGTGAAGCCAGGTGGGCGGCGTAGCCAGATCTCCTCGTGCAGGCTGCCCTGCAGGAAAGCTGTGATGAAGTCAAGAGAGTGAAGCTCGTAGTCACGGTGAGCAGCTATGTGCAGCAGTACACGAAGAGTGGTCATCTTCGGGGTGGGAGAGAAGGTCTGAAAGTAGTCAACTCCCTGCCGCTGACTGAAGCCACGAGCCACGTAACGCGCCTTGAAGACAGGCGAAGAACCCGGCAGCCGCTTCCCCCTGAAAATCCACATGCCACTGACGATGTTCGCCCCAGGCAGGGGAACGTCGTCAACGTAGGTGCCTGTGGACTTCCAGGAAGCCATCTCTGCGTCCATAGCTGCCTGCCACTGAGAGGAGTAGGGACCCTCTATCGCCTCCGCGTAAGAGCGCGGAGTCGGGATGTCAAGTGCATCCGGGTCTCCCTCAGGGGTAAGCAGTACGGACACGAGATGAGGTGAAGCAGCAGCCAGACACTGGAACTCCTCTTGCCTGTCCTCAA